CTTCAGAACAAAGTTTTCTTCAAGATTTGAACAGCCCCCATCCTACTGATATTTCAAAAAGCCCTCAAGACCTAGTTCTTCATCCCAGCTTTTGAGGATGAAGTCCATTTCTTTCTTTCTTTCTTCTCTCCGGCAGCAAAATGGATATGGTCATTGAGAAGCCAATGGGAAGGGTCAATCTTGTAGATAGACAAGTGGATCCCTGCAGATCACTCACTTCACTTAGGCTCCTCCATAATCAGAATCTTCACATAGGAAGACTCTTCTTTCTATCTTCACATAGAAAGCTTGTTCTGCTTTTCCCAAGAAAGCACTATTTTGCTGCCTGATCTGGCTTCAACAGCAGGACTGTTGAACAGCCTGTCTCAACAGCAGAATACTGCTACTGGGTTTCAGGCTTTACTGTAAAGACATCTACTTCACAGATGGTGATCTCAACACTGTGGCAAGGAGGGTGCATGAATGATTTTTCTGTGAATCAAGCCTGCACCAGTCTGCATAGTCCGGGGATTCCATTTCCTGTTTTAGATAATGATAGTTGGCAGAGTTTGAGATATTGTACAGATCTACTGTCACAGATACAGAAATGTCCTTGAAGAAAATATGTGGAAACCCTAGCTCAAGAAAGCATGAAGATGAAACTCAATATTGACCTGCCTTGACTCTCTTTAGTGTAACCAAGATAGAATGGGAAATGCTGTCAGACTTTCAAGATTCTGTTATACAGCCATATCAACGAAGCTCCAATATTTCTTGTGATGTTTGTTTCCTGAGCTAAAGCATCTTAAAGAGTTGACAGCTCTCTTCATGGGTAATGTAGTGCAGAAATTTTCCAATAAAAATTTGTATAGAAATAGTTTTTAAAATGTTCAAAATTCTTTGGTAGCAGTAGAAAAGCAACTTTATTAGTTGCATATATACTCATGTCCACATTTGTTCAATTAGGGATGTATCCCTAGTCCCTTCTTTTTAAGCTATGAAGTATTTTCTTGGAACCAATATAATAAATGACAGAAGTATGTGTAATGTAATTTTTGTATTGAACACAATAATATTGCCAACTTATTGATACATGGAAATATTTGCATATCTCCATTGAAGTAATGAAGTCTAAAATCATAAATCCATAAGTGTTTGCCTTAAAGCTTGAAGAATATGATAGAAAAAAATGGTAGATAAAAATAGCTGTTGTTATTTTTAGAAGCTTGAATTTTGGTCTGCTTTTTACACTATTGTTGTTTGATTCACATATGGATTATAGGTAGTTCTTAACTTACAGCCATTTGTTTGACATTTAGAATTACAACACTGAAAAAGTGATTTTTGTCTGGTTCTCACACTTATGACCATCACAGCATCCCCATGGTCATATTCAGACCATGGTCATATTCAGACACTTGGCAAACAGCATGTATTTAAGATGGTTCTGGCTTCTGGTAATTGACATTTGTGACCTTCCAAGCTGACTTCCAACGAGCAAAGTCAATGGGGAAAACCAGATTCATTTAACACCCACATGCTTCACTTAACAACTACAGAGATTCACTTAACAGTCATGGCATATTGGTTGTAAAATTAGGTGTGACTCACTTAGCAACCAATTTGTTTAACAGTGGAAATTTTGGGCCAATTGTGATAATAAGTCAGGAATTATCTGTATTTAAGTCTCCCATTCCGGTTCCAAAAATAGAAATGTACAAATTGTCTACAGTATATAGAGACCTTTTCTTTAAGCCAATTTTTGAAATGTAATGGAAATATGTACAATGCTAATAATTGCTAATTGGTGCTGTTTTCTAACAGAATAGTATTTATGAAAGAAACATATTTTTGTTTCCTTTCTACAATTTGTCTACTCCCCAAATTTGCTTGAGAGGATTGGAGAACTCTTTGGAACAGATGGTAGAGCCTGTTAGTGACATAAAGAAAAAGTTTCATTGTATTTTTGCAGCACCATAATTGTTATAGTAACAGTTTATTTTCTTAACACTTTTTGGTGACCTTCCTTAGTTATTTTATTAAGAATCTGGGTTTAATCTAAAGTTGGGAATATAGTTTTTCAGTTTCAAGTATATAATTTTTGTCAGTGTCTTTTTTTTCTGATTCTGATCAAACAGATTTATATCAAAGACAGATTATTGTATAAAATTGTTCATGCATATCCATCAGTTGGAATTACAACTCTTACAAAATATGTGAGTACAGTAGAGAACCAGTGTGTTATACAGTAATGGTTAGGATGAAGGCAGATTTAACTTCTAGTCCATTCTGAGTCCAGAAACTCATCAAATGACTATGTACTATTTATCATTTCATAGCCCAAGGCTATTTCACAGTTTGCACTAGATACTACCTTGAGGCCATAGAAAGAAGGCAGGGTATACTTAGAAGCATGGACATGTAGGTTGATGGAAGCTGTGTAGGAGATCCAAGGCCACACCCTTCCAGTTCCTTGAGTGCTGGTGGGTTACATCCAGCTTTGGCCTTTGAGTATACCTCTTTGTTGAGAGACTGAGGAGTGAAAACAGACTAATGAGAATGTCCTAGGGCAGGGGTGTCAAACTTGCGTCATCACACCAGAATAATGTGACATATCACAACTTTTGTCCCCTTCACTAAACTGAGTGTGGGTGTGGCCAGCGCGTGACGCATCCGGCCTGTGAGCTGCAAGTTTGACAACCCTGTCCTAGGGAGTAGATTACAGTGTCTAGGGTCAGTGGGAAAGCCTCAGGATATCATGTTTGTTTCCACATTGATTTTGTCCTTTTGGGGAATAGAGAAAGGATTAGATGCCTTGGGTGCAATCCCAAAACATCCGGAACACCATTTGAACACACTGACATTGACAAAATCACCATCAGTCAATTGCAAAAGGCAGCTTTACTTGGAACAGCTTACATCCTGCAATGAAATCTGTATAACACCATCAAACATCCACATCTGCCTAGTTCAGTGGATAAAAAGCCAAATCCAGTCTAAACATCTGGCTTATTATACAACCAGCCAGAATAATATAATAAATATAATTTATTTTCCACTCAGTTCAGTTCAGGGTGAATCACATTTGAAATTTTGGTTAGCTACATTGAGCTTAATTGATTATAAATTAATTAACACTCCAAAGAAGATGACTTTTTCATGAGATAATTAATCTTTATGATAAATTTTAAATAGAGCAGCACAAGCCCAGGCAGATTTTCTAGATGTGCCTTTTTGCTGCTTAGACTAGGTTGACAGGCTTTTTTCATGTTAGATGAATTAGATGTCTAGAAATGTCTCTTTCTTATATTTATTTTGGCTTGGCAAAATACCGTTGTTATGACAGTAATATTTCACAGTCAAAAATGTTAATACTATTCATAAATTCTGCCCAGTGATAAGCAAAAGATGCAATAAATCATTTTAAGTAATTGATGTTGATTGAATAAGATAAATGGTGCTTCAGGTAGTTATGACCTTATCATTTAACTTCATTGTAACTGTTTAAAAATATTTTTTAACTTAATGCAGCATTTTGGGAATTACAATGTCAGTAAAGACTAAACAATAATAACACTAAACTATACCACTATTGTGTATATAATATATTTTAGTGAAAATCTTAATCCAAAGTATTTTGAAACTTCAAGTAATCCATGCCTATTAGATATACCTATCATTTTGCATGTGTAACTTAAGGACTTAAAGAAAATATGTCAGTACACATAAAAATAGTGTATAAGGCAAGGTATAATTTGTTCAAGAGTGATATCTACTGAATGTTTAATAATTGATATTATATAAGCACAAGCTAGACTGAAAAAAAAAGGATAGCACAAAAGATTGTAACCAACTGACACACTGTATGTATATAATTGAAAGAGGGTTTTATGTTTTTATGTTTTGTTCGTATGTTTGTTGTAAAAAATAAAAACTTTGTTTAAAACAAAAAGAGTGATATCTGCGTAAATCTTTAAAACTCAAAAATGTCTCATATTTGGACTCAAATATTTCAAGAGCTTTAAACATTGAACACTGTTTACATGTTTATGATCTATACCTTTTTTTAAAAGTAAAGAACATATGTTAATATCCAATATATATCCCTGATGTAATAAATTTAGAACATACAATTATTATTATTAGAAACTATTAGCAAGAAAGTTGTACTTGGATGGTATTGATTTTCTTACAAACAACTGAGAAGTTCAAAAAAATGAAGATTTATTAATCAGGTGTCTAGAAATAGTGGAAGTGAAGATGGTTGTTATAAATGTTATTGTCATTAGTAAACTGAATAATTTAGAGTTACTTGTTTTGGTTAACCTACTCTTACATGGTTTGTTTTTCTCATTATTCCCATTATTTTCAATTTGATTTCTTGCTTTATTGTTTCTGACTTTAATTTCTTTGGTTCACTACTACTTAATCTTTCTCTACTTTAAATCATGCCTTAAGCTAAAGGGAATATTATGTATGAATGTATCTGTTATATCATCAAATTAAAAACTTGTGTGAAAGAAATATCAAGTTATTGATAAAGACCAAACTCCAGGTCTAAGTGCTAGAATTCCCCAAGATTTGTGTCTAATGTGGGTCCTTTTCTGACAAGTCATATTTCATTGAACACATCCTGGCAGACCTGTAAGATTTTATGCTAATACAGTTTGATCAATTCATTGGTTATATTTTGTAATGGTGATTGTACTTCAGCATAAAATAAAAATTTAGCAGAGAGCATTTGTTTATTTCTAATAGTATTTGATGAGACTTAAGAATCCAGATTTATATTTAAGTCCTGACCTGGCATCATTTGACTTGACCCAAAGAGAAGCTGTTTTCTAAATTTTAAACTGGATTTGACTAGAATCTTATAGTTAGTACATTCTACATTGGGAGATTGCCCAATACTCTATAATTGAACATTCTGATCAGTATGATACTAAATCAAAAATTAAAAAAAGTTATTTTACAATCAAGATGATAATATTTATGGGTATTTCTTATTCCTTGTTTTACAGGTTTTTCATTATTCTTATACAGCTTCATATGTGATATATAACATACAGACAAGGTAAGATAATGTTTGATAAATGCTGCTTTGAGTACTGAATGCTACAAATGTGTCCAAGTAAAGTGTTTACTTTTTTCAAGGGAAGTTTGGGAGTTAAACCCTCCAGAAGTAGAGGACTCAGTTTTACAGTATGCAGCATGGGGTATACAAGACCAGCAACTGGTAAGAAAAATGTCCATGTTCATTTTATCAGCTAATCTATTTTAAAGTGTTAGGAGTAGGATAAAATTTATAGGAAGTACATTTCTTATTTGGGATTTGTATGCAATTATTCTTTGGTTTTGTTTTCTAAGCCACCTTGAATCACCATGTGCAAGTGGGCAGCAATATAAATTTTTTAAATAAATAAAATAAATAAACAATTCATCTCAGGTTTCCTATACAAATGAATACATTAATCATATGGTTAAAAAAATTCTTGATTGATCAATTGATTGATAGATATGGCTGACCCACTCATAGCAATGATTCCAGGTATTATATAAAATTCAAACCAATAATTAAACTGACAGGGCTCTATTAGTTTAATTCTCTGGACTTGGTTGTTTGCTCGAGGATGTTTTGTTCTACAGAGGTCCTCAAACTTGGCAACTTTAAGACCTGTGGACTTCAGCTCCCAGAATTCCTCTGCCAGCATAGCTGAGAATGGGACTTGTTCTCTACATACAGTAGCTTGCCTTTCAATGTGATTGGTGATGTTGCTTTCTTCTTGTTCCTTGAGTAGGTTGTTGCGTACTGCTTGACTGTTAACTTGAATTGGTAGTTCCTTGATTAGGAATAAATATTAGGAACATACATTACATTAGGGAAAATACATTAGATTAATACATAGTTAAAATGTTACAAAAATGTTTAGACATCTCACCAATGGGGAATAAGTATTCTATCAATTCCCTGCCACAGTGCCTCCAGAAAATCAAAAACTTAAAAATAGAAGATGAAATAAAGGTCTCATTTGTACATTATTTAGATCCATAGATCCAGAATTAGTGAAAGGATTCACTGCAGCACACAACACACCCAATCTAAACAAATACAGGTAGTCCTCACCTTATGATACAATTGAGCCCAAAATTTATGTTGCTAAGTGAGACATATGTTGAGCTTTGCCCCATTTTACAACCTTCTTTGCCATACTTGTTAAGTGAATCACTACAGTTGTTAAGTTAGTAGCCTAAGAAGAAAAACATGAATCATCTACAACATACATTATAAAGACTGTAACAGCCGCTATGTAAAATAGCAGGGAGAAGATTAGCAGCATGCATTCATTAACACCAACTAGCAGTCAGAAGAAATAATAAAAATGCCTTAATTTCACAATACATGAACAGACTTAACCATAGTGTCAACTGGGAAACTGTGAGAATCCTAGAGCAAGCTAAATTGAAAATCACTAAGGAATTCCTGGAAGCTTGGAATTCAGATAAATCTGTCATCAACTGACACATAGAAATACCACTATCATATACATATCTTTCAAAAGAGACTTAAAAAAACCTTTTCACCAGTAATCAACACCCAGATAAGTACTGATTAACACTAGGATTAACATCAGACAAACAAGCAAGCAATAAATAACAGTCTAATCAAGGAGAAACCAATACTCTGACCAACACTGACTTATTGTATAGAAGCAAGCTCCACTCTTATACCATGATGATGTTTGAGTTAAACGTCATTTGTTTATTGATAATAGCACACTTCAAACAGTCTGATAATCTTTCCTATAATTTCTCAGAAATAACATGAGTACATGATGAATTAATGGATCAGGATAATTTCCTGAAACTGACTTCTTGTTAAGAACTGGAACTCCAGTTAAGTGGTATTTCCAAAGCCCATTTCTGTCAGACAATAAAAAAAATACCATAGCTAGTGGTATCAAATGTTCCTGAAAATTCCTGCAATAAGACATATATTTTATTTTAAAAAACCATAAAGACAAAACAAAGATTTAATAGGAACTTAGTTTTGACATTAAGGTTCTTGATACTTAACACTTTGAAAATATGTATGATTCATTATACTGTTTGGTCATAATATGGTAACAGAGCATACATACAAGTTCTTCTATGACAGAAAATTCTGTTAAAGTCCATGAAATAAAATATTTTAAGGATGTGTTGATTCATCTGTTGTTAATCAAGTTGGCATTAGTACTTAAATGCTACTGGTAAGAATATGTCTCATTAAATAGGAGCAAAAAAGTAAAGCTGAAGTGAGAAGTAATTACATCCATCTGGAACATGACTTGTAATTTTTGAATAATTAACTATATCAATTTATCAATCCATTCTTGCACAACAACAAAATGCCAGGCAAGAAATACTAGAATTTTACACAGAGCAAGGTACTGTGTGCTGTTTACCAAAAAGGCAAAATAGCTATAAATGCTTCAAAATGTGTATTTTCCATAAGTTTGAATGTTTATCTCCCTGTGCAAAATTAGTAGGCTACAACACAGTCACAAGCATGTAATAATAATTCCATTCTTAATTGATAGTTAGCTTCTTCTTCTTTTTAGCACGTACCCTTTTAAAAAACAATGGAAATATTCTTCAGTAAAGGAATATTAGAAATAATGAATGTTTTAACTAATGTTCATGCATGGAATGCTAAGCTTATATTTTCAATGTTAGGAATCAATAGAAGTAGTTTCTCTAGTTGTAATAAAAATTAATAATTTGTGAGGGTGTAATGGACCATATCTCCAGTACTTTGCATTCATTTTGGTTAGTTGATTAGTGATAACTTATCATATCATAATGTATGTCATGAAGAAGTAATTGATTGAACAATTCATACAATTAGCTTTTACACACATACTTTATTGAAAATTGGAGTTTGGCATAAAGCAATCTGTATTATTCAGTCCCTCATTTGTGCTGCAAAATGTATTACCACATTATTAATCAAGGAAGTTTTCATCTAATTATCAGCATAATAGATATGAATATTACATATCATAGTAATTAATATTTGTATGACACTTCTGATGCATATCTACATAGGTTATCATCTATGTACAAAAAACAATAAATGAAATACATGAATTCCATTTCTTTGTAAGCATGTGTAAAACAAAATATTGTTCCAGTGGATTATTGAAAAGAAGAAAACAGTATTTAATGTGTATGCTAAAAGATTGTATATCTTATATGTCAGTAGATGTTGTAGAGTTATTCCAATTTTGTGGCATAAAAATGATCTTTCCTTCTTACTATATGTTGAACAATTTCTGTGAAATTTACAAGAATAGATCTGTCCTTTTGTAAAAAAAAATCTGATCAAATTACAAACCTACTAAGATCGACATGTTTATACTACTAATTGTTAGCAAGACAGACTAATTACAGCAATGATTAGTGCTCTAATTAGATGCTTTAATCATTGGCATCTGAAAGAGAGGAATTGGATGGGTAAATGGCATATAATCACATCACAACACAAGGCACATATGTTACATGCTTATGTGAAGCATCACAATACACCTACAAACGTTATTGTTGGCTATGTGCTAACCTTGGAGTTCTTGTCATGTGGGCTATTAAATTAGGGAAAGAAAAAAATACTCTTTCCATTGGGGTGTGATTTTTGAATGTTAATGTCACAATTCAGTGCATGTTCACCAACACAATTCGATTTTCAAATTAATTGTTAAATAGTAAGCAAACAACAGCAATGTTTGAATGTTGTGTAATATTTAAAATCTTATATTAAAAGATACTCAGAGGTTTTCAGGCCATGGAACCTTTCCCTCCCCCACCACCACTTAATCCCATACAATCCATTCACAGTCCTTGCAGAACCATATTTGAAAATCTCTAAAGAAAATTTTATGGATATCCTCTGAACCTTGTTTCTTTAAAGTATCCACCCCAACTACTCAGCAAGCACAAGGTCTAATATTAAAGGAACTATGTTTCAAAGATATCCTGCTAGGTAGTTGGAGCCATACATAACAGAAAGATAAGTGCATATATTTTTGCTTTCTTTCAAGTGGCAATACAAAATAAAAGATAAATTTCACTTCCTTTCTATTCAACAAGATGCAGAGGAATAAGGACAATAAGCAAAAATAAATTACAAAGTCTGTTAGAAAACTATAAAATGTATCTTATCTTTATTTAGTCATTCTAATTTGCATATTGGAAATTTTCCTTCTCTGCCTTTTCTTTATATTTTGTGTCTGTATAAGCTATGAGCAAAGGTGGGGTTTTTTTTCTCCCTTAAAAATAAGCAACCTGGATCTATATAATAAAGGAAATGAATCAGTATATAAAAAAACTTCCTGATTTATTCCTGATGTGTTATCTTACATCCCAACATTTTCAAAATATTCAGACTCTGGAGGCAAATTCATAAATTTTTGCCCTACATCTTGGCCTGAGCTTTTTTTGACTGTATTTCTTCATACTATTGGGGAATAACCAATAATAGCTCTGCATTTTATTTTCTTATAACTTCATTTTCTACAATTCCCTTCCCTACTAAACCAGTATCTACTGTATTTCCCTGAAAATAAGACCTGTCTTATATTTGGAGGGGGTCCAAAATAAGCAGTAAAATGAAACATGATTTCAGGGTGATCAGTTCGACTGGGTGGCTCGCACAAGAGGTTACAAACAACCCGGGACCAATGGAATCTGGCAGCAGCTGAAGCCCACCAATCAGTGCATTCTGGGGTTATGCAGCCTGCACATTGCACTTGATTCCCTGTCCAAGCAGCAGACAAAGGCATTGTGGGGGGAGGCAAGTGATCTGGGTGTGCCACGTGAGCCAAGGACAAGCCAAGAGATGTGAAGATAAGCCTCCCATTCCAACCCATCAATTCTCAGCTTTTCTGCAGCCCACGCAGCACATCCAGATTGTTTGCCTTTCTCCCCATGCCTCTGCCTCCATCTGGTGCCAGTTTCTCTGTGCGAAGACCAGCCTCCTGCAGTCATCTGCCACTCCAGCCCATCGGCTTGGCTTTCCTATGGTGCATACATATCACGTGCCTCCCCCCGCCTCTGCCTCCGCCTGCTGTTTGGACAGGTAAACAACTCACCTGTGCTACAGAAGGCTGCAGCTGCTGCTGGACACCGTCGGTCCCCACACGCATGCTGCCTCCTGCATTAGTCACACCCACTCCCCTTCACTAGGGCTTACTTTTGGAG